TCTCCCTCCCTCTCCCTCTCCCCCTCGCTCCCCCTCCCCTCCCCCTCCCCTGCCCTCCCCTCTTTTGCGATGCCAAGCAGGACAACCATAAGTCGAGCAGGAGCCAGTCGAGCAAATAACATGAAATGAAGGAACAAAAGACTGAATGAGTGAGTGCGTCAATGCGTGAATGAATGAATTAATGAATGCAGACGTATCACTGCCCAAAGACGTCTTGATAGCCGCTGCTGTAATCTGCTGTTACTCGTGGAGCGGTAGCACACCCAAGCAATTCAGCAAACCAGCACTCTCCGCTTCTACAGTTGTGGCACACCCGTGTTTTTGACACCTGTCAGACCATCAGCCTGGCTTCAGAGCTTGCCGAAGACATCGTGGCATCTGCGGTCACTGACGCTTGGGACCCAAGAACCCGAGATGTGCATGGAAACAGCAATGTGGAGACGAGCTGGCAGGGCTGGAAGCTTCTTCCGCCACCGCTGCCGGACCTCAGCCAGCCCTCGGTGCAGGCAGCTGCCCTCGCGGGGCGATGCGCATGTTTGCAGTGCTGCTGTGCCTGCGTCGATCCGGTCCAGGAGAGGCTCTTCGAAGAAGTGAATGGCGCAGATGGCCTGTTCTGGTCGCAAGGGTCTCAGTCGTCATTTCGACAGTGGTCGACGCGGAGCACAGACTCATATGTGATGTGCACTCTCCGAGACACAATGCATGGACAATCTTCTCCGAGCTGCGAGAAAAGGCAAGACATGGCAAGACATGTTGGCCAGATATTCTTGCAAGCTTTCCACTGACGTGTGCCTGCAAAAGCATTGGCATGAGTCTTGGTATCTCGAGCACGCGATGATGACGCGCAGGTCGAGCGAGCTTCACCTTCTGAGATCCCGGCCGACAGAGGCAAAGTCTGAGACACCTATCACAGCGCGACGTGTCTTGCAGAAGTTGCAAAGTTCCGTTGCGCCATCTGGGAGGTCCCGTCGAAGTCAGCTTCGAGCCTCCACCTGGGGCACGCGGGCACCGGCCGGTGCCGAAGGCCAGGCTCAGGATTGTCCGTGCGTGCCTTGCTTGGGGGGGTTGGGGTTCAGGTCGAGGCTCCGGCACCGGAGGCTTTGACGCCGGTGGAGCGGCTGGAGGTCCCCTCCCTCACAAGGAGACCCTCTCATCACGCCGAGAGCTTTGGAAGAAACCTCGTCAGCGGTGTTACGCAGGATGCAGGCGCAGCTTGACAGGCTGCCCAATCCGGAGCCCGATGCCGGATCCTCAGTTAGTCATGATGGTCACCACCTCTCGTGGACTTTGGCTTCAGGAGTATGGCCAGGTCGTGTGCCGAGTTTCTCGCACCACCGGCCGGGCATTGCACGGCAATGCAGGGGTTGCTGCAGGTCCCCAGGACGGCGAAGACTGAGCTTCAGTTCGAGCTCGATCGAGCCGCCCGCTGGGCGAGGCCATCTAACGAATGCAGCGTGGGTCCTAAAACTCAGCGACGACACAGCCGAACTGACACAGGTGTCGCCCTCTAGAGCGCTCGCCGCTCTGGTGGCTGGCTTACGAGTGCCAGCCTTGGAAGGGATGCTCAGCAAGAGCGGCAAACGAGCGGTTTCTGCCAGGACCATCCTGGAGATCGCATCCGTCCTCCCGGGCAAATGGGCAGCAACGCGTCAGCGAAATGGGCACAGGACTCAGTTAACAAATGCCCTACTATTCTCGATCTTGCAGCTGCCAGCAACCGCCAGCCACATCGATGCTGCATGCCATTGTTCATCTGTTGCTGCCGCTGCCTGCTACTGCTACTGCTACTG